ATAATTTATCTTATAGGCGGACTCGGTTTTACTTTTTTAATATTGGCTTTGCTGTGCATCATCGCTCATCAAGAGTTCGAACAATTGTCTCGGGAATTGTTTTTAATTAAAAGAATCGGTTCAGATTTACACAGAAAGCTAAACGAATTAATGTTGCATCACCAAGAGCTTTGGCTTTACATGCGACAACACAATACCAAGTACAATTTAGTAGTTGTAATTATCTATTTTGTTGTCCTTTGGTGTACAAGTTATTATTGCTACGCATTTTTATTTTTGGAATTTCATTATTACTTTAAATATATAATATTTTTACTTATGGTAATATTCACTTGTATTTGCATAATAGCTGGAGGTCTGCTGTGCTCGCTCGCATTTACGGTAATTATATTATACATTCACTGTTGACGTGTTTTTTTATTTTATTTCTATACAATTTTTCTCTGCTGCAGATGGAAAATACGTTTCAAGACGTCAGACAATTTGCAGGATGTGATATTGGTCTGAGAAGAAAGCTAAAGGTATGTGTTTTTTATACAGTAGACCCCCTATAAAACGGGTTTATATGATACGGATTCATATATAACGGCGAAAAAATTGCGATCGTATTCGTATAAACACGCTAAAAGAGAATCATATGATACGGTACATCGTCATCGTCGACTCGTGTTGCGACAGGATTGGACCAATAGACCAATAGCGAATATAGACCAATAGCGGATATTGCACAAACCGTTGAGTTTAAACAAGCAGAGGACCTACTAAAAATCTTTTATCATTTAACGGCCATAAAAATTATATGTATATTAATGATGTCTCCAAAGTTCAGCAAATTCTTCGCAGAAAAATAGTTTATCAGGAAACACGCATCTGCCGTTCGATGCGCCGCTCCACGACGAAAACAACTTTAAGCAATGGCGGCGTCGAACGGTGCACACTCGGTAAGTAATCCTAAAATTTTTTGTTTATAGCATAGTTTATATGGATTATTCTCAAATAATTATACGTGTTCTGGAAATGTTAATTTTATTGAAAAAAAACACCTTTCAAACCGCCGTAGTCCATAAACTGCACACGTGTCGGGCTGTGATTGGCTCATGTATTTAAGGACTCGTGCAACATGAATTTCATAAAACACGGAACGTATCTACCATGTTATAGGGGGCTCCACTGTAATCAGTTAAATAAAATAATTATTTTATATTTTTGAGAAGTTAGTTTATCAGGATTTCTTTTTTTGAATAAATTTCTTACATTATATGCAACAAATGAAAATTCAATTAATTTAATTCTTCAATAGAAGACAACTGGAATGAAATTTTTAATGAATCTATGCAAAATGATTNTTGCTTGTTTGTTTTTATTGTTGTTACTTATGTATTAAGATATACATAACAGTTTTAATATAAATAAATAGTTTATTATCGAATTAAGTCTACATATCTAGCTCCAGCTCCATTGTTAGATCGAAACCTTCTCCTGCCACTTGGATTTACCACTTAGATTTAGCCATTGGGATCGGTATAAAGTTTGCAATATCGCGAGTTAGAGATCGCAAATGATCAAGTGAGAGATCACTTGACGTAGACGAAGATCTTGCAATCTATCAAACTTTTTTTTTAACATGATGGCTGCATGTAAGGTGATAAACTACCAAAATTCAAATCTTATTCAGATTCTTGTATATACAGTATGTATATATTCAGGGGCGCCGCTAGCAGTTTGAACACCCGCGTGCAATACCGATTATGCCGCCCCCTGTTTAACTACAACTACCTACGCTGAGCTTGCCAGAAAGGCTCATTAGTGTTGTCTCATAAGGGTCTGAAAAAAGAAAAGAAATACTTTACAAAAAAAATCTATTTATTATTACTAAGTTATTTTTGTTTACTTAAGTGTAATACCATATAAATGTTTATCTATAGAAATTCAACTTTTCTTGCCTTTATGTTTGCGAAATTTGCTATCAATTTTCATGTATCCAAGCTGTCTAAGATTTCATGTTCAATTGAAACTATAGCTAAATTACTTAATCTTTGCTGGTGCATTATTGATCTTAAATAGATTTTTTTATAATTTTTAACTTTGAAAAGAACCTTTCACCAAATGCAGCTGAAACCGGCAATGTAAGTAATATTCTTAGTGCTATTGCTGTGTTCGGAAATGTTGAAATTAAGTCATTAGTAAAAAGATATTGTAATTGGGTTTGTGGATCATTAGACTGGTTTTCTGGAAAATGCAACTTTAAAGTATTGATTTCATTAAACAAATCAATACCGTCAATGTCTGTTTCACTAC